AGGCTAGTGGTGTCCACAGCTCAGGGACATCATTGGTCCTCTTTGCTCACAGGGACAATGTCACCATGAATGACCTTGTTTTCTTGTAAGCAACTCTTTTTTTTTTTGGAGATAGAGTCTCCCTCTATTGCCCAGGCTGGTGTGCAATGGTGCAATCTCGGCTCACTGCAACCTCCGCTTAGTCGGTTCAAGTGATTCTCCTGCCTCAGCCTCCCAAGTAGCTGGGACTACAGGCACGCACCACCGTGCCTGGCTAGTTTTTTTGTGTTTTTAGTAGAGATGGGGTTTCGCCATATTGGCCAGGCTGGTCTCGAACTCCTGACCTCGTGATGCACCCGCCTCAGCCTCCCAAAGTGCTGGGACTATAGGTGTGAGTCACCATGCCCGGCCATAAGCAACTCTTATCCACGCGTGTTCCACAGACAATTCATTTCTGAATCCTCATTTCTTTTCTGAATCCTGAAGGCATCATGTTAAATTTCACATACACCGCTTAAGTCACACAAATTTTGACTGAGGGTGGAGAGGTAAAGAATGTAATATTAATATATTTTCTAGCACTTTGCATGTATTATCTCTTTTAGTCCTAACAGCAACCTCAAGAAGTTAATCTGTATTTGACAGATGTATGAATACAAGCTCAGAAAGAATTTCCACAAATACTTAGGACCACTAAATGAGCAGAGCAGGATGAACTGAGTTCTTTCAGATTTGAAAATCCACGATGTTTTAAAAAGGCACATTTCACAAGTGGTCCATCCTAAATGACAGTTCCAAGGCCCAGGTATCATTTTGCTATTAAATTCCTTGAAATAATCGCAGAGATTTCAAATATCAAGTATTTTTCAAATTCTTTAAAAATAGAGGTAGGTACAGTATTTGAGTAGAGATAAAAATAATAATTATAAGGGGCTCTTAGTTGGTGTTTATATGTGTCAGGCAATGTTCTAAGTGCTCATTGGACATTAACTCATTTGATTATCCCAGCAATTCTGAGGCTCTGAGGGAAGTACTACTGTTATTCTCATTTTAGAGACAGGGAAATAGAGCACAGAGAGGGCCAGTAATTTTCCCAAGATCACACAGTAAGTGGCAGAGCTGGGTTTCACATCGAGGCAGTCTGCCTCTGAGACCCTGCTTTAACCACTCTGCGGTGCCATCTGTCCTAGCCTTCCCCAACCTGAAGACCACATGAGTCAAACAATTTTTAGTAAAACTGTTATAAGATGAAACACAAAAGATTGATAAATTGAAATTTATCTGAAAACACACGCTTTTTTAGTATGGAAAATAAAATACGGGAACAGATAGCTGATGTTTTATAACTCTCAACTTGCTGGAAAAATCCTTGATCTCAATGGAAACCAAGCCAATCAACATAAAAAATTTAAAATTTCCTTCCTTTTTCAAAAAAAAAAAAAAATTCACTTCTCGCAGTCAATTGAACTAATTCCTTCCCTGTCCCAGAGGGCTGTACCAACTGGGAAAGCCTTTGACCAAACTGACAACAATACCATAGCTTTTGGTAGGAGAGGTACAGACTTGCAAAGCTAGCGGGTTTTCTTACTTTATAATTGAGGAAACTGAAGCTCAGAAAGGCCACAATTCCCATTAGAGGACACAAACAAATGGAAGAACATACCATGCTCATGGATAGGAAGAATCAATATCGTGAAAATGGCCATACTGCCCAAGGTAATTTATAGATTCA